AAAACTATTAATAAACGAAAAAAGGTTATGCAAGTTGTATGCAAATTGTAACTAAACGAGTGAGACCGAAGAGAAAGCATAGCATTTAAGCGTCTATAGATTATGCTGCCCTGAGGCACTTGGTCGTCTTTATGCAAGCGCCATGAATACGTGACTTCAATTGGGAATAATTTATCAGTCAGGTTAAAACTTATTATTCGCTTTGCTTTTCGTATCCCGGCCCAAATAGCCAAGCATCACATTGAAGAGGTTTGACGAAAAGAATTTGCTGTAACGAGGCCAAGGTTAAGAGTGGCAGTGATTACAGGGTCAAAATGGTTAAGGTAAATGAAATGAAAAAAAAGTTATAAAATCAAATAATAAAACTATGCTCAGTTCGAGAGTAATTATTGTTTTGCATTGTTGTTGATGGTGAAATAGAGAAAACTATGAAGCATAAGAACTGTGCGGTCTCGAAAGCCTAATTGCAAACGAAAATTAGTAGGAATGATTTGCTACGAGGTGGAGAGTCAGTGGGCCAATACAACTTCATACAACATGAAGTATCCGTCATAGAAAAATGTAGAGACCGATAAGGGCATTAGGCAGTATGCCCACCTCACGTGGATGTGGACGAGGAAAGTTAAAAGACGACTGGATGTGGCCACACTTCTTAATTTGCGTAACCAAACTGACACAGGATTCTGCCATGCTGAGACGTGTACATTGTGTGTATGCTAGACTCACAAAGCAGTTAGTGGCCATTTTGGTCTCAAACCAGACTCGAGGTTGACCAAATCTCTTCTTTCTCGCTACTTCTTTCTGCTCCTCATTTTGTCTAAGGTGATGAAGAACTGGTGGTTCATTTTTCCCACAACAATATGAGTAGAAGTGGGTTGACCTCGTTGTCGCAACTTAGTAGTGTTGTCAGGGCGACTATGTTGAACGCATCTAGTCCGAAGTCGTCTGCCATAGTAGTTGTTATGATTCTCAGCATCAGACAGTCGACTTGGTACATTCTCAAACGTTTCGCCGGCATCTTAGTCGACATCATCAGTCCGTTTTGCCATTCTCCGCTCCAAGCTACGAACTCGTCAAAGAGATAAGTGAATTCAATCACTCGACAACCGTTCTGCCGGAAACCGTTACACTATCACTCCTCTTTCTGTCATTGTCTATCTATCTACTCTTTACACTCTCATCCCACTGCCGTCTGATGCTGGAAATCATACTAGAATCATACTGGAAATCATACTTCAGACTAGCTGCGTTCTACTAAGTCGCCTTGACAACAAGACCAAGTTGCGACAACGAGGTCAACCCACTTCCATAAAGCGAAAGGAGACTGCGACCATAACAGAGGCCACAACTTCTTTGTCTTCATATATTCACTATGAGTAGAGTTGGTGTTGCCATTGGATTTCACATAGCCTCGTTTTCCCAAAAGGTGTTCTCATCCAAACTGGGAGTCGGGAGCAAGCCTGTGTTAAATTAAATGGAAACGTCAACTCTACTCATATGATTGTGTGAAAATTCAACTACCACTTCTTCATCACCTTAAAAGAAGTAGGGTGAGCACAAGTCATATATAAAAGTGACTGGTAGTCTCGAGAAGCGACTCAATAACGAATAAATGTATTGCTGTTTGTAAATGGTAAATAATGCTTTCCGGCTCTGATGCTGTCAGTCAAGAAAAAAAAGACTAAAGTCCATCAGGGACGACTGACTGATGCAACCCGTCGCATTAATCTCGTATATGCAAGCTGAAATGAATGAGAATGCCTTACTTGTGCTTGCTATACTTGAGATAATAGCCCAACAGCTTGAGTGATTGTATCCGCGTCAGCTCGTCTTCAGAAGCCAGAAGCTTGAAGACGCAATGAGCCCCTTGACGGCGGTCGAAAGCTGGCACCATCGTGGCAGGATGATCCGCCATCAGACCGACCACGAAGTAGAGCACATCGCGCAGGTTTTCGTCCTGATTGAAGGGTGTCAAAACAGCCAAGTGATCGTTGGAAGTGAGAGTATGCAATAAATTACAACAGGAAAGCTGAATGAAATGCAAAATCATATTATTGTGACAAAAACCCTAAATATCAGTCCTTAAAGTCAATTTAGTGGCCAAGGCTGGGTGAATTTAAAGAAAGCTCTTGCTTCCTAATTGATGAGCTCACCTCCATTTCGAGTGAACATGTTTGGAGAAAAGACTCGAAGGTAGATTTTATCAGTAGACGACGGCGAATTCATTTATGGAATATTCTTATTGACGCTGTCGTGGAGGCAATCTCCTGCGATTCCAGGAAAAACGTGCCAAACTTTCGTCGACCTGAGGATAGATATCATCAACGCAAAGTATCATTCTCGCAAACAGCAGTCAGTGACAAGAGATGTATTCATCCTATTTCATTTAATGTGATACGGGGACTGGTAGTTGACTTTCCACACATTCACTTGAGTATACATGACGGTTCTACTGAAGTTCATCCAGGCTGTAGTGAACTGCAGCTTCGACCTCGCTTCACACGGTCTCGAGACTCGCGCCATAAATGTGAATGTTATAATCTCGACGTGTTAACCACAACTTCATATTGCCACGAGTGTTCTTGTGTCTCTATGATCGGCTGGTAGTTTCGAAAGCCTACTTACAAACCAAAAATGAGTAGTGTAGTATATTGCCATTGTAAATGCAAGCCTGCTTCCCACCACATAATGTTATATGGCTTTCCCTGAAATGCAACTCTGCCCTGTCAACAAAGGTTACTTAAGCAAGTCTGGCGTAATGGTCAACCTGTCGAGATTATATGCGGCAGTGTCATGGTTCGAGTTCCGCTAAGGGGCTGATAAGACCAGTTGACGCCAGGATGTGAATAACTTGTGGCAAAGCAAGGCTATATGAAACTTCAGTAGAAGCGTCATGTATATTCATGTAAATGTGTGAAAAGTCAACTGACAGTCCCCGTATCATCCTAAACGAAATAGGATGAATACATCTCACATATACGATCTTGTGGCAGCCTTAAAAGCCTAATCATAAGGTAAAAATAAGTCAAAGAGTACTTTTTGACTTATTAATTTGAATATGTTTGTTAAGATACTACTCCGATCTGATGATGTCCAGCATATGAAGAACAAAAGCCTG